GACCGTCATAAATATGAGTCAGTTGCCAAGCAACTGAATTTGGATCATGCGACCATAGGGACGCTGCAGCAATCATAATGTGGAAAACAGTCATGAATTAGTTTTTTCAGTGCCATTGTAACTTTGAATGGTTACTAAATGAATCGCTGTAAGTCAAGAACTACCTGTACTTGCTGGCCACCTTCTGACCAGACCAAACTCTGGCGTGACCCGACAAAAGGGCGAATGACAAAACCGTGCCGACTAAACCGCGTCGCTAAAACTGTGACGTCATCAACGTGCCGACAACAGCGCAGAGACAACAGCGCGGAGACAGAAGGGCGATTTCAGTCGACAGAGGGGCGATTTAAGTTAGGGTTAGGGTTAGCGTTAGGTTTAGCGTTACGTTTAGGGTTAGGTTTAGATTTATGGTTAGGTTTAGTTTTACAGCGCGCTTCTGTCGCCGCGCTGTTGTCGGCGCGATTCAGCGCTCAATCGTCGGAGCGCTTTAGAACACACGGTTTTGTCACCGCGGTTTAGTCGGGCGCGGTTTTGTCGTTCGCCCTTTTGTCGGTGAACCAAACTCTTGTCCTTACATATTGAAAGAAACTTTTTGAAATTTCTGTTATTTGTTACTTGTGTGATTTTATTTTATTTATGTTATTAATATAATTTTTGTTAGCAGCCTAAAATTCCATTTAGCAACCTGGGGGACCATTTATATGATGTTAAATAACAAACAAACAAACAAACAAGAAGTGGTGCTTTCCCTCCTCTTCCTCCTCTTCCTTGAAAGTCCCTTCATTTTTTGGATAAACCCACCAGGCAGTTTTCTTCCAGGAAACACTGACTCAGTTCCTGGGCATATCCTTTCTTTCACCAAGCTTTGTGTTCTGGTGACACTTAAAATATGTGCGTAGTCTGCAAAATGAGCAAGCGAGTGGAATATGAAGGGTTTGGGGAGATGTGAGAGGTTGGAGAACTATTGCACAGAGACAGATAAGGCACCTGAGGATTTTGCAAGGACGCTCATCCCCATGGACAGCCTTGTCAGCTGGACCCCCTCAGCTCTTCAGGTCATCCTATTCTAGAAAATGGGGCTGTCATTCTGAGAACTGCAGGTGATGTCTGGTTTGCATTTGGACTTTCTCTCCCCCTGTGACTTTTCCAGGCCACCAAACAGATGGGAAAGATGCAGCCCCAGCAGACGACACTGTCCACCAGCAGGAGACCCCCGGCAGTCATCCCACAGGTAGGTAGGTGGGCACTGGGTCTTGCCCTGGTACCTGTCCTATCCTTAAATGGGAATAGAAATGGCTGAGCTCCTGCCCAAAAAAAATAGACCCAACTCAAAGCAACTCACGGCCTCGTAACCTTAGACTACTGTAATGGGTTTGCCCTTGAAGATTTTGTCAGAGTTTATTGCATAGATTCAAATCCAGAAGCACACGCAGATAACTGATGCAGCAGGAATCATTAACTTCTTTCTATGCATAAGAACAGATGAATAAATGTACAATACCAACAGGTGGTTCTTCCAAGTAAAGACAAGGCAG